TTTGACGAATGTCCATTCCACGAACATGCTTATTCAAATAATATCCCATGCACTTGGCCTACACATTTTAAAAAATAAGAAGAAAGCAACAAAATACGTTTATTCGAAAGAGAAAATAACCACTACAAAGAAAAGTTTTATATGTCAAAATACCACTTACCAAGCTCTTCCCAATCCCTCGATACGCCGCATTATCCATCGAATTATGGTACACAAACTTCATTTCAGGAATGTTAAGGACAAGAAGGTAGAAGTGAAATTTTTGCACCACGGGAAAGAAAACATATTTCCATTCAAGGACCTCATCATTTCATCAAGCACTGCAATAGTACTTCTACTAAAAGTAGAAGCACACGCCTCATAATCCTCCTTCCGAGGAGGTCTATGCTTAATTTGTTCGATTGCACTCACCACATCACTCTACAAATTCAATAGTTTTTTTAGCAAATTAACAATCAACAAAATTAATAGATAGAGTATATTTAAATACCAGGTACCTGAACATATGTCGGCAAAAATCGGATATGAGGATGGCAGCCACGCAGGATAGTCATATAGCAATCAATGAGTGACGAATTCAACTCCGACCCGAACAAAAGAGAGCACATCGATTTCCCTCGGACCACAACTCGGTCATTGCTCCACACAATTTTGCTACCAAAATTTGTAATTTAAATTAGTATGATATAATAAAAATTAAAATAATTAACGTCATTTCGGTTACCTCAATTGATCACTTGCCAAAAACGACCGGATGACTGCAACATCCTCTTCCGGGACAACCCCGTGTCCGCAGAAATCCTCTCTGCCTCTGTATTCATTCAGCAATCAATCCTCATTGTCGTCATTCTTGTCACTCTCCTACATTACAAAATAGTTACTTATATGAAAACAACACGAATAATCAAATGAATTACAAACATAAAATTTCTAGTTTAATTACCTCATCATCATCCAAGGTCACCAAGTGCTCTTGCTTTTTTTTTTCTTTCTTCTGCCTTCTTTGCCTCTTCTGCCTCTTCGGACCGGATGACGGAGGGGTCATAAAATCCACCGGCTTCGTCGTCTTCTTCCTCCCTTCCTTCTCCCGAACCCTCTTCACCATTGAGGAGGGTTGTTGTTTCTCCTCCACCCTCGAACCAGCAGCCGGCCCCTCTATCAAACCAGCATCCGATCCCTCCATCAAACCAGCATCCTCCACTAACAGGTTTACAAGTCGGTCCAAGTTATCACACTCAGCCACATCTTCATTGTCATCCACAACAGGTTCTTTCTCAACAATCATCAGAGCCCATCGTTCCTCCTTCTTTTCCTCCTCTTTTTCATCACACTCTTTTTCCTCTTCCTTTTCATCGCACTGTTTTTCCTCCTCATCTCTTTCCTCCTCCTCTCTTTCCTCCTCTATTTCCTCCTGTTTTTCCTCCTCTTTTTCCTCAGCAAAACAAACACCATCACCACCATCAGCCTCATTTTCCTCACTTTTTTCCTCTCTTTCTTTTTCTTCATTCTTTCTTTCTCTCCATTGAGACTCCAACAATTCAATTTGGTTTCTAAGTTTGTCGTTCTCAAGACAAACCATAGCAAACAACCGGCTCTCAAAAGGTCCCTGTACATGAAAGAAAACAGAAATTAGAAAGAAAAAATAAATTAAAAGGTCCCTTGTACCTAATGCTAAAACACAAATTCTGGACAAAAATTAAAGGAAAACCTGGGCTTCCACAAACGCACGCTCTTCCATAACAGGCGATATCGAGTACACCTGCAAAGCAAAATCATAATGATTTAGGTACAAAATCGATTAACCAAAAAGATAAAAAGAAGAAGTACAAAACACATATTATAAGTTTATATAAATTACCTTATGCCTCATTATTTTTTTAAGGGAATGTAAAGACCCTTGAAATGTAGACGGCATTGTGCTTCCCGTCCATCGAAATAGACGGGGAATTGCCTCGAGCGTCGAACGTTTGCCCAGAGAAGGCACACGTTCGTACAACCAAGCCTACACACATACACATGATGTCAAAATTATACAATCTCACAATTTAATATTATTGTATTACGACATTGAATATACATACCATCAGCCCAACCACACATCCGTCAAAGTAAGCTCGGTCTGTTGAATCACCGTGGCGAACAAGCGCTGCAAGCAAGAATTTATGAGTCACATTTCCCCATGCGTACTCACAAATTCGACTCACATCCTCCAGGTAAGGGTAAACAAACCTGGGGATCGAGTAACTCGAGCAAGGAAACAAAATACAACTAAAAACTAACAAACT